GCTCAAAAAAAAAGCCTAGTACTTCCTATATTTGAACTTATGTATGTATGGAATTTGTTTCGTATAGTAGGAAAACGACAAGATTTAATGTTAAACGTGTTTAAAGTAATTGAAGAAGCTGAAAAAAAACTTGTGAAAACTTCGTGAGTTTTTGTCGATCAATTTTCTTCTTTTAATTTGAATCATATCATCTGACAATATAAACTATAAAAAATCAAATAATTTTTAGGAAAACAGAATTTCATGCAGATAATGAAGCACTTTTATCGCTTCTAAAAGGTGCTTGTTTGCGACAATTGAAACATCCTCTTTCAGCTGAAAGTTGTTTAAAACGCGTTCTCGAATTGGACAAACTAATCAAGGAAGATACTTATTTACTTCCTTATGCAACAGTAGAATTAGCTTTGTTGGCACAAGATCAAGGAAATATTCAACTCGCTCTTGGATATTTAGAGGATGCTAAGTAAATCATTTTTATCTTAGGAATATTTCGGGTAATTTTTACTATTATTATCAATAAATTATTTTATTTTTTGTAGAAAAAATTTTACTGGATATTTATTGGAATCTAGATTACAATTTAGGATTCATTCTGATTTAATGAAATTGACTGGAAAGAAAGCAGAAGATATTTTAATGTAATATAGTACCTGAAAAATAAGTTTTTTGTAAAAAATAATTCATTACTGTCAATAGCAACACTATTGCAGATTTCAGGCACTATCAATTTTTGTTGATAATTTATTTTTATATGATAACTTATTATATGATCTTTAATACTTTTTCTAGAACTATTTGCTTCTACTATTTAAAATTATTCTAAATTATTTCTTTTTTATTGTATAAAATATTTAAATATTATAATTTTTACATAATGTATACATATATTGTACATTATGATGTGTATATTACGAAAGATTATGGTAAAAAGGTTTAGGAAAAAAATTATTTTTTTAATTTTAATTATTTGTATTATAAGAAAAAATGTATAATTGTATAATGCGTCAATTTAATCGGTGGTAGTAAAATTATCACAATCGTTTATGTTAATAAGTTCACCAACATATATGTTATATTTATAATGAATTATAATGTATAGTGAATTATACATTATATATGAAATATGAAAAAGGGATGATAACATGGAAATAAAAAATAATTTATGGCTGATCAAACTCGTTATGAAAAGTTTTATTCATTATTTTAATTTTTATTTTTTATTTTCACAAATATATTGCCTAATATTTTATTGATAGATTTGTATATATATATATGTATTTTTATCCAAATACATATATGTAAATAATAAATGCAACCGAATTTTAATCTATAAAATTTTTATATATTTATATATTTATATTTTATATATAAATACTTAGATATTTTAAATGAGTATATGTTTCCATCATAAATTCATACATATATCTATTTTTATATACCTCAATATTATTTTATATATTTTTTTTCACTTCTATTTTAAAAATAAATAAATTTAATCAGATTTCGAAATCGTAATCTTAAATTTTGCAGAACAAATATATATAGATAAAGAAAAAGAATAGAAATAAATAAAAATTTAAAGAAGAATTAATAACATCTTTAAAATTATTTAGATTTTAAAAGATGTGTACAAAAAGAGCAAATAGCGAGGAAAGAGACGGAATAAAAATTTAGGAATCAGAAAATAACGAATAAAACAAATGAAGAAAAAATAGAAAATGAGAGAAAGATAGATGTAAAGTAAGAATAGATTGTTAAAGCCATCTTTTCTACAAAAACTTTTCTACAAAGATATTTCTTTTTTATTAATAACTTTAAAAAACGAATAAAATTAAATAAATAAAATTAGAAAAAATTACTAAATTGCAAAATTTTTAAATATTTCAATTTTTTAAATTAAATTAAATTTCATTTTATATTATCAATCCTATATTTTTAAATTTGTATTTATTTAAAAAACTTCACCAACTTAAAAATATTAAATTTAATATTTATATTAAATATTTATATTTAATATTAATATTAAATTTATAATTTTTTTATTATTATATTTTTCTTTTTTAATTTTATATTCTAAATTTTTAAATCAATGATTTTATTAAATTTTTTTTAATCGAAAAATTATAAAATAAAAATCTATATTTCATGCTAAAAATTTATATATACATTAATATATATATTTATATTAGAAATTTATATTTTACAGCTTTAAAAATGAATGATAAAATAAATTTTTTAACTAGATCGCAGCCAATTAGCTCATTTATTTGTTATATAATTTATAATTATATCATAGAGCTATATATGAAATAATTATAAATAATATATCAAATAAGAATGATTTCCAGGTCTCACCGCGTGGAGGTTGCTGCGAATCGGAGACCTACTCTATTCATGTGGGATCTTATTCATGTGGGATCTTATTCATGTGGGATCTCCATTTATTCTTTTTTTATGCAAAAATTTATTTCTATATAGATTCTTTTTTGTTGGGTAATCATATTAAAAAATAAAACAATCTAACACAAATCTATCTATTTTAAAAATTCAAAATAAATAAATTAGTAATATTTGAACATAGTTGAGTTAATAATTAAATATAAAAAAAATAATAAATTATTGTTCAAAGAGTTATTATTAATTAATATTCAATAAATAATTGAAAAAACGTATTATAATAAAATTTTAGTATAAAAGAAAAAAAAATAAATGTTAGATAAGAATTATACAGGTAAACCATATATCTGAAATAAAATATCTACCCATCACGAGTTTTGACAACAGAATTATACGTGTCGTTGCAATTTCGATATCGAATTATAAATTGAAAAGATATTTGGATATATTTCAACAATTCGATAAATCGAAATATCGAACATGGCACGAATAAGTAAGAAAAGATTGTATTATAAAAAATGTTTTCAACATTTAAGATTTTGAATATAAAATCAAAATAAATACAGAAATAATAATATACGAGTTAAGCGTTAATAATGCATTTAAAAAATAAATATATAAGAAATATATAATGTATAAAATACGTATGTGAAAATTGATAATAATGATAATCTAACTAGTTCTATCTCTGAATAAAAAAAAACAAAAATTATATATAATATAATTATATTATATATAAAAAGAGACAAAATTATATATAATAATACATATTTTATTTCTAATAAAATAAATAAAAATCTTACCATATTTGCATAAAAGTCGTTGAATTATTTTTTAATTTTCACATATATTTTCACATGCAAACACTATTATACTATTACACTTTCAAAGTCATTCTGGCTTCGAAACTCCAATCAAACGATAATCTGCACAAAGATATTCAATTCTAGTAATGATGATCAAATAAATAGGTATTATTTACACAAGACTTAATAATAATAAGATTTAATAATCAATAATTAAACTTAATAACCATATTATAATATCCTATCAATAAATATTTTACACAATTATATATCTAACCGAAATACAGCCTGTCATTACGATTTTCAACTTTAGACTGACGCCATGCGCATTATGATGCGCAATGATTCGTCTCGCAACTGATTTTAGCAGCTTTTTGATTGGTTAGAGCTACGCGGTATTTTATTTCAAATTCGCGCGAAAATTAAAATACTGTACAATATGATCTGTTCTAATTGCTTGCAGTTAAAAAATCAAATTTTATTGTTTTTTCATACATTTATATTAAAACTTTTCTCGTTTTCGAAGGTAGACCAGTAACCAATTAATAACTTATACAAAAGAAAATCAATATTTTCAAATAAATATTTAAAATGTATAGAATTAATCAATTTATATTAAAATAAAATAATAATCAAATGTAAATTTCATCTTAGAAAGATATAAACTATCTATAATTTTAAAAATATATAATATAACATTAAACAAATAAATAAAGAAAAAAGATAATTTAACTACTGTTTTTATTTCTAATTAAAATAAGAACAATTCAAGATAAGAACAATTCAACAATTTTTATTTCTAATTATTTTTAATTCTAATCAAATTTATTTCTAATTCTAAATAAGAACAAGTCGAAACATGTTAAGTATGATATGAAAGCAATTTTTTAAAAAGCTTGTATAATAAGAAATATTTTCATATTTCGAAAATATTATAAATAAAAAATAAAGATAATATAAATAATACAAATAAACAAGAAAAAAAAATTTAAAAAACAAATATGAATTTTTAACAAGTAATAAATTAACTATTATATTTATTTCAATATGAATAAAAAAACAATTAAAATCCATTTTAAATATTTTTATAAAAAGAAATGAAATGTTACCTGAAATGTATAGAAAAATGATCAGTTATAATTTCTATAACATAAAAAAAACATTACATTATTTTTACATTACATGTAAATTACATTTTTTTTATATCTCATTTGTATTCTTTGTAATAAGATCAAGAAATGGTGCTAACAATCAATTCTATTTCTATTCTTCTCTCATTATTTTCTGTTCTTTATTTTGTTGCGGCATTCTGAAGATGGCACTGATTCCCAAATTTTTATTCTATTTCTATTTTTCTCTTATTATTTACTCTATTTACATTTTCTCTATCAAATTGATATGCTATGATAATTATCGATCTTTAATAAATTATTATTTTATGTTTAAAATAAAAATAACAAGATAAATATATAATATATTATGATATGAAAATGATATACATATAGATATAAGCAATACGCAAAAATTAAAATTTAAATTAAAATATATTTTTCAATATTTTATCTATTGCACATTACATTAATTATCATTATAATATTATTTATATATAATACATAATATTTTAATATTTGAATTTCTAGTATATATATGCGCACGCGTATATATATACAATACGTTCGATACTTTTATCTTGGACATGTACGTATAAGTTCATTTACAAAAATTCATAAAATTATCAATAATAAGCATTTATTGTTACGAATATAGAATTAAACGTATAAATGTGTTATTTACAAAATATTGTGGTTAAAAATGTTCATTTTTTATTTACGTACCAATTGAACAATAATAACTTTAACTCTAACCTTTGTGTCATTTTGTTAAGCCGGCTTCATCAAATTATAATTTGTTAAAAGTAGAATAAATATTATATATTATATAAATTTTTCATAATTTTATCATATTATTATAATATATCATTATTATAAAATTTGTATAATAATGCTTATTAGATTATACAATATATATATATGTAAATGTTATTAGTAAATTTTTTTATAATTCGATTTTATATCTATTCTTTTTTTCTTATATAATAGAATTTTATTTTTATTTTTCTTTTTAATCTTTCTTATAATGACTAGTCTGTTAATTTCAAAAATTATGTTATGCTATTTTTGAGAGATTAAAGCAATTTCTGTGAAAACAATAAATGCCAATAAAATAGTAATCATTAAATATGTTAAGATAAATATTATGTGATTTAAATATGTGATTTAAAATAAAACCTTTAAATTGTTATAACAATAATAAACAAATATTTTGTATATAGGAAACAAGGAATAAAAGGAAGTTGAGAGTATTATAATATATTATTATAATGGATGTACAAGGTTCTTTGAAAGAAGCTTTGTATGAAACGTTAAGTGGAATTTTGTCTCCTCATACAGAAACAAGACAAGCAGCTGAACAAAGAATACAAGCATTAGAAGTTACAGAGGAATTTGGTATACATTTAACAGAATTTGTAGTAGATCCTAATGGACATTTACCTATTAGGCAATTAGCTTCTGTATTGTTAAAACAATATGTTGAAACTCATTGGTCTTTTGTGGCTGAGAAATTTCGTCCTCCTGAAATAAAATATACAACAAAAGAAAGAATTAAGGAATTACTGCCATTAGGACTTCGTGAATCCATTAGTAAAGTAATATATATTTATAATTTGATTTATGAATGTTATATATGTTTATATCAAATATAAAAATGTTTTATGTCATTAATTATTTAGGTACGTACAGCAGTAGCATATGCGATATCAGCTATTGCACACTGGGATTGGCCAGAAAATTGGCCCGGTTTATTCGATATACTTGTTAGTTGTTTAAGCGGGGAAAGCGAATATGCCGTTCACGGAGCAATGCGAGTTTTAACAGAATTTACTTCAGATCTTACTGATAATCAATTACCTAATGTGGGACCAGTAATTCTTCAAGAAATGTATAGAATATTTCAAAGTGAAAATGTACGTTCATTAATGTCTTATATTAAACATTAACCATATAATAACACCATGACAATATCAATTTATGTTTTTAGCAATATTCTATTAGAACCCGTGGTCGTGCTGTTGAAATATTTACTACAATTACAACGTTAGTTGCTGCTACTGGAATTTATCAAAAAGGATTTACAGAGCAATATCTACAACCGGTTATTCCCATGTTTTGTGAAAAATTTGTTCATTGTTTACGACTGTCTGATGGTTCAACTAGCGATAGCGGACTTAAAACCGATGTTATTAAAGCTATAAATTGCCTAGTTACTAAGTTACCTAAGTACGTATCAAGATTTTTACCTCAGATGCTACCACCAGTTTGGGAAACTTTAATACAAAGTGCTAAACTCTATCAAGAAAGATCTGTAAATGGAGAGGGAGATACAAATGATAAAGAAGTCGATTCAGATGGTAAATTTTGCGTTAAAAAATTTAATTTGTACTTATCGAGAATTAATATGTTTGCAATACATTTATCTTTTTATAGGTGAAATAATTAACTTTAATAATTTGATTATTGCGATATTCGAATTTATTCATTCTATCGTAGATCGTAAACGATTTTCAAATCTTTTGGATAATTTAATGCAAGAAGTAATGTATTATTTAATCATTTTTATGCAAATAACCGATGATCAAATCGAATTATGGACGACTAGTCCTAATCAATTTGTCGAAGAAGACGATATATTTGCTTATAACGTTCGCATTTCAGCTCAGGAACTTTTAACGGTAAATATGTATTGTCAAGAAGGAAATGATAAAACAGTTATAAATATCGTTGATGATAGAGTAATATTTAAGTTGAATTTTTTTTATCGATTTTTTGTACGTATAGGCTTTAGTGAATTATTCCGAGGAAAAAGCGGTGAATGCACTTTGCGAAGTAGTTACTCGTCATATTGAAGCAACTAGTAGATTACAAAATACAAACAATGGAAGCGAGAATAATGAAACGTGGTGGAAATTACGAGAATCATCTATTTTAGCATTAAGTAAAACAAAAGATGCCGTTGTGGAAAGGCAGCAAACTGGGATTCTTCAATTCGATATTATTAGATTTTTGGATACAATCGTTTTAGCTACTTTAAAGGATTCAGGTATTGCTTCATTACTTTTCATTCATGAAAAAACAATTAATTTTTTCCATCATTATTTTGTATCATACTGATGACTTTTAGGAGCACCACCGTTACTTCTTGGTCGTTGTTTATGTATCGGTGGCAAATATGCTGAGATAATGCCACCAGAAATGAGTTCACGTTTCTTAGAAGCAACAGTTAATGGATTGCAAGAGAATCAACTTTCGTGTATTCGTATCAGTGCAGTGAAAGCTATTTATTGGTTCTGCAAGGCATCGATGATGGAAAATAACAATACCCTGGGCAATATTATACGATCTCATTTGCCAAATATATTCCAAGGAGTTTTCAATTTAGCCAATCAACCATCAACGGAAATTTTAATATTAGTAATGGAAACTCTGCAAGTTTTGGTTTCGGTAATAATGTTCATTATTCTTTTTCTTTTTTTTCTTTTTTTTACTATTATTCGTAATCATTACATCTAATTTTGCCTCTTGTTTTTACAGCTAGACAAAGCATTTACCGCTTCAATGGAGAATAAAATTTGTCCCTTAACTATCGCTGCATTTTTAAAGTTTTACAGCGATCCTGAAATTTTGAATTTGTGTCAAGATATATTTAAAAGCTTAACGCAAAATCCTGATTGCATAGGACCATTACAAACTCGATTGATACCGACGTTAACTAGCATGATGGCTATAACGCCTATGAATAAATCAAAAGATGGTAAGATAGTATTTTACTTTATCGTCCAAGCGAATAAAGAACACGGACATTAGAATCGAAATTATTTGCTCGAATTTCTGTTTATCGCAATAGAAAGATGTCAAAACGTAGCTCTGGATATTTTGCAAGTATTGGTGCAATATTCTCCAAGACCGTTGAGTAGCGCATTGATAGAAACTGCGTTTCCTGCCGCTTGTCATTGTATTTTGAATTCAGAGGACAACGAAACCTTGCAAAACGGTGGAGAAGTAATACGGACTTATCTAGCTGTCGCGGCTCGGCAAGTGACGGTACATCGAGATAATGACGGTCAAACAGGTTTGCAGTATATACTGCAGATCATCGCTCAGTTATTGAATCCTCAGGTAACTCGATAATTTTGATCAATAACAAACAGATTCGTTCCCATTTTTTTTTTTTTTTTTATTCCGTCTCATTATTTCGACACACGAACTGTACTATATCAATTAATTGATTTTTTTAACGAGGCGTGTCGCATTTGTAGTCGAGCGAGTTTACAGCGACTTTTGTCGGACGATTGGTGACAACGTTAATTAGAAAAGCAGGAAACACATTGGGCGAAAATCTCGATCTATTATTGAAAGCTGTGCTGAGTAAAATGCAGCGAGCCGAGACGTTGACCGTGGTACAGAGTTTGCTCATGATATACGCTCATCTCATAAACACAGAATTCGATGCTGTCCTAAATTTTCTGTCAACCGTACCCGGTCCAACAGGACAGAGCGCTCTCGCATTTGTACTCTCTGAATGGGTCAGCAGGCAACATTTATTTTTCGGTAGATACGACCGAAAGGTAGCAACGGTCGCGCTTTGCAAGATATTGGAGTACGGTGTTACTCACGGAGATAGTCGATTGAACGAGATCACTGTCAAAGGAGACGAAATATTTTCAGGTTCGTATTCGAAACGTTCATTGTACAGATTATACGATTTCGTAAAAAGAAAGAAAAAAAAAAAAAAAATTCGAACGAATTAGAAAAAAAGGTTTACAAATATTTGCTCGTACGTTCGTGTATAAATATAATAGAGACATTATCGTTTTTTTGTCACTTTTTTTTCTCTTGAATATTTATTTTTAATTTTAATCAATACAAGATGTCGATAAAATATTTATTCCAAAACAGCGAGTGACTAATTAAAATTCGAGAATACGTAGGAAACGAAGAAGGCGTGAGGACTAGGAGTAAAGCCGAATCACAGCCTTATCAATGGACCACTATACCTGTTTTGGCAAAGATATTCAAGCTGATAATTAACGAGTTATCGAACGACATCGAAGCGGTCGCCGCTAATCAGGACACGGACGTTAGTAATAAATTTTTCCATTTTTCTCCATGATTATTATTCTCGTTCGATGGCTCGAATCAATCAGTCTTTAACGCGTAGGAATCGGACAACGAAGACGACGAAGACGATAGTGAAAATGCCTATCTAGATCCAGGCTATGAAACTATGTTACGTAAGTGGGATGCGCGGTAACGCGGCACCATCGGCATATTTTTTATTTTTATTTTTTTTTTTTTTTTTTATTCGCTGAAATTCTTCTGCAAATGTTTATCGAATAATATTATATCGCTATAATATCATTAACGTAATATATTATATTTTTCTTAAAATTATCATTTTTATCGATCAGTGTTGGGAGAAGCTGCGAACGAGGCTGAGGAAGACGAGGACGATCCGGACTTGCTGCAAGATTCCATCTATCACTTGAATTTGAGTCAATATCTGCAAGATTTTTTATTAAATTTTTCGACTCATCATTGCTTTCCAGCGTACATTCAGCATCTAAATATTCCGGAACGAAAAGTTTTAAGCAGCTTAAACATCAACGCATCGTTCATGCAATAGATAGATGGATATATAAATCGTTAAATAGATACATGAACAGATACACGTGTCAATGATAAGGATTTTTGAATTTCGTAATAAAATATGTGATTCTTCATATATATTTCATCTTTTTTCTTACTTTTTTCTTACGGCACATTTTTACCTGTTTCACATTGCTCGCATGACATTACGCGTCCCAAAAAAAAAAAAAAAAAAAAAAAAAGAAGAAAAGAAGACTTTAGAGTTGAAAAGAATCGTATATTCTTAGGAATATAGTGCGAATATCCTTCCGTCTTTCCTTCTGTGTGTCACAGAATCCTGATTTACAATTTTATCCGCGTCTTATTCGTTACATACGATCGTTATTGTACATATCTACAAAAGCGTTCTTTTTTATTCTATTTTCTTCGTCCGTACAAGTTTTAACTCGTGTAAAATAATCTACATACATTTATATCGTTATACGAAAGAAATATGTACAACCGTGTTGGCGTTTATTCAACGATACGATGCGATTCGTTTATTAGTTTCAACGATCGAGACGAACGAAAAATCGCCGAAGGGAAGGAATAAAAATAGAAATTCGTAAAGCGATCATATTCCTAATTATTCGTAGTTATGTGCGTTGATCATAGCGAAATAAGATCGTAAATTCGTCGAAAGGATAAGAGAGAAAAAAAAGTGGAGGAACAGTTAACGAGATCAGAATTGACGGTGAAACAGTGGATAAAAGGAAGCACGAGGAAGTAGTAAGATGGGAGCGGTTCAGATTCAAACGGTCGTTACCGAAAGAAGACCCATCAATTTGCCACCGGTTCCTCCGGGACCTCCCGTTCCACCAACCCTGTTTCCGTGGACCAACATCTCTTGAACCGTGGTAAAATCGTCCAAAGTGTTTTTCTTCCGAGCCATTTTTTTGTGACTGAGCTCGAGAATATTGAGCGGTTTTTTTGCGAGCTTCTCGTGTTCTCCATGCTCGGACGCCAATAACTCATTGCTTTGCTGCAATTGAACTTGCTGCTGTTGTTGTTGCTGCTGTTGCTGTTGCTGCTGTTGTTGCTGCTGCTGCTGTTGCTGCTGCTGCAACAGTTGAAACTCTTGCTGCCTCTGCTTACGTTCTCGAGCGCGTTCCAATTGCCTCTTGCGCTCCTCTTTGGTCCAATATCTGCCGACCTGAAACGGAAAGAAAAGAAAGAAGTGAAAAGGGAACGGGAAATGGAATTCGAGGAAGTTGCGACCACCTTCACTTCCGACATAGTGTCGTCCTCCGTGCTGTGACCGGCCCGCTCCTCGGATATCTTGATCGCTCTGTTTCTCAGAATACGATTTCTAACCGGTCTTCTCGCGATGTATCTGGTTCCGTCCGCTCGCCTTTTCACCTTCCATTCCATCTGCACCTCGTTCCCTTTCTCTTCCGGCGGTATCCACGCGTTCGACGAAGTGCACACCTGTTGGCTGCCGACAAATTGGTAACGCGTCAAGTTCGGCGCTTGAAAGTTACCGTGAGATCTGGATTTTTTCGCGGTGCCAGTGGGGACGGCGGCGACCGCGGTCACGCTACTGCTCTCCCTCGAGCCAGCGATCGTCGAGTTTCTTCGATCAAGCGCCTGTTTGAACAACTGTTGCTGCAAAAGCATCGTTTGTTGAAGATTGGCGATATTCGTGTACATCGTGTCGGCGGGCAGATTACCCGCGCTCGTTGAATCCGTCACGCGATCCTTGTAATATTGGGAGCTCGATACCCTTTTGTTGTTCGAATAATTTCTGTTGATCTGTTTACTGGTAAAAGCGGAACACGTGCAGCCGAATCTCTGCTGCTGCTGTTGTTGATGCTGTTGCTGTTGGTGTTGCTGCTGCTGATGATGATGAATCGTGGACATTTTCGGAGGACAAAGAACCAGCGTGCTCTTGTGATGATCTTTCTCGCCCCGTTGCAACTCCAACGTGAGCGGATTACTGTTGCACGATTCGCCGGTATTGTAAGCGCTCGAGCTGTCCTTTTCCTCGCCCGAGCTATTGCTCTTCGACGAGCAATACCATCTACCGGCCGACGTTTGATTCGCCTGGCCGGTTTGCGTGTATTGGATCACGGTGCTCGACGCAACGTTGATCGCGTTCGCGTTGGTTGAGGAAACGGTAGTGGTTTGAGACGTGGCAACGGCGCTCGGCCGCTCGTGATGATTGTTGGAAGAATGACCATGCCAGTGGCGATGGTGCTCGTAAGGGGAGGAATATATCGGCTCGCTATCCGACTCCGGTATGGTCTCGTATATGTGCTCCGTTTCGCTCCACACGTGATTCGAGTACGCTTCTGCCAGTCTGACGGAGGGGGAGGAGGTCGTCCCTCCCCCTCCCCCGCCCTCGCCGCTCCCTCCCCCTCCGCCCCCCTCGCCGCAACCCGTCTGCGATTGTCCGCGCACGCAGAGGCCCTCCATCTTCTTCGAGCAATCCTTCATCGCGTCTTGCACCCATTGTTGCTGTTTACCGCGCTCGTGATCCGCGTGCCGAGCCGGCGACGCGCCGTTTCTACCACCACCACCACCACCACCGCCGCCACCCCCTCCCTTTTGCGAGCTCTGAGAGGAACAGGTGGACGAGGGGGTGTGACCAGGGACGGGAGGCCTCAACGTGGACCCGTCCTCCTCCGAGTCTTTGGTTCGCTCTTCCGTCTGCTGTTGCTGTTGTCGGATCAATTGCTCGATCAAACTGTTCTGATAGGAGGGTATGTGATCCGGCGAGAGCAACGGCGAGCCCTGAAAATACGAAAGGATTCGTTGCTTCCTGATTGAAGCACACACACACACACACACACACACGCGCGCGCGCGCGCGCGCGCGCACAGAGAGAGAGAGAGAGAGAGAGAGAGAGAGAGAGAGAGNGAGAGAGAGAGAGAGAGAGAGAGAGAGAGAGTAGAAGGAACGATATCATTTTTGCCCTGCTTACCCGACGATACGCACGCCTCTCCTCGTAATCATCGTCCTGGAACAGATCAGAATCGGTGTTTAAAAGCGGGGCGGCGGACGATACTCGGATAGTCGGGAAATCCCCGAAAGGGAGGGTTTAAAAGCGAGATTTTTACCTGATACAGGCATCGGCTCACCAGAATGGTCACCGCGTTCTTCGTTTCGGCGAAAAGATTTTCCGTTTGTTCCTTGTTCGCCACGTCTTTCCCGTTCACCTGTAACAACGAGTGTATAATAATAGCTTTTATCGTCCCAACAAATAAAATTCTTCGAACGGAGAAATTTTTTCTCGTCCGCTGATATATTTCTCCAAGGAAGGAGGAAACGAGAGACAGAGAGAGAGAGAGAGAGAGAGAGAGAGAGAGAGAGAGAGAGAGAGAGAGAGAGAGAGAGAAGAAATGCGCGGATCCGTTCGTTCATTCGTCGATCCGATTTCGCTCGAGTCTTTGTTCCGCCGATTACGATCCCCCCTTAACGGGATTAGGAGGGTAGCGCACAGGTTGGAATTAGACAAGGCGGTTGGTAATCGAATGAACTCCGTTTCTACGGATTCGTCGGATCCGATGATGGTAGGGGTTTACCCTGAGGATTTGATCGCCTTCTCGCAATCGGCCGTCGCGCGCCGCCAAACTTTCAGGAACTATTTCCGAGATGTAAACCTCGGTGTCGGCGTCTTCGCTGCCCGAACCGGAACTGTAACAGACGGTGAGCCCCAGCTTCTCGGCGCTGCCCGTCTTCCGCAACGTGACCTCCTGTAATCGGAACTTCCGTTAATTCGTTAATCGAGTCAGTGACGGGGAAAATTTAATTCGATCGAAGTTTACGAACAAAGTTTACTTCGATAATTTATCGTTCGAAATACGAATTAATAATTCGTACGATGATTTATAGTTGGATAAAATAAATTCGCGTTGTTCGAGCATTTTAATAAGTAATTATTCAAGGCAAGTTTGGTTCGAAATTTTTTAACCAATAAACTTTTAATGCCCAAGCTCCCTCTGCGCCACAAACTCGTCTCGTGTGGTGGAAGGGCGATCGTAATAGCACGCCCCCTACCACCATCTTTCCTTACTTACCTCGAAGTCGATGTCGTGCGCGAGGAAATCTTCGAAACTATCGTTCGGCTGCTCGTCCACAACCTCTTCCTCGGTCTCGATAAGTCCGGCCCAATCGGTCTGCACCGCGGTCGAGACGAGATTCGGCCAAGCATTGCTCGTTCCGTGCTCTCGTTTCTCCGACTCTTTTTCCTCTTGAGCACAATGCATTCGGTGACCGTGGTGATGCTGCTGTTGTTGTTGTTGCGGCTGACGTCGCAACACTTCCACGATGATCGGCTCTTGGGCCGATTGAAAGCAACGTACCGCATCCTCGTGGCTCGAATTTGAAACATCTTGACCGTTTACCTGAGAAATTATAAGCGTGTATGTATCGTGTATGTACGTGTTCAACGATTCTAGATAAATATCTCGAGGTAAATTTCTTTTTTTAATAATCGAGTTGGGAATATGTATCAATAATAAACGCGACTAGGTCAATTGGAAGGAAAACGCAAAAAGAAACGAAGAGTGGAAAGAACGAGTTTCCTAGTTAGAGAGACGTTCAAACGTTGGTTAGGAAACGAGGCGAAGATGAGATATCACTCGATGCGTTAATCGTTACTTTTTTCTTCAAATGGAAAAAGCTCGTCGCGCCTCCTAGGTTGTCCCACTAGGACTCGATCCCATTTCGAGTAATTTGCCAACCGTATCTTCCATCGTCTATTATATATATATATATATATCGTTGTGGATAAAACGGATCTCGTTTTCTCGCGTCACCGACTTGGTTCTTTTCAATCGACCGATCAATCGGCAGAGAAAAAAAGAAAGGGGCGCAAGGAAAAAAGGAAAAAAAAAAAAAAGAAAGCGAAGAAACCAGAAGTCTCTTTGTAATTTTTCCGATCGATAGTTTGGTTCGCTGGTTAGTTCTCTCTCTCGACAATCGCTCCATCTTTTCGTTCCATTAGTCACGGTCGAAGGATGCTTTCCACCGTTTTACGAAGAACGCTCGCTCGCCTTCACCTCTCTCTCCCTCCTTCCCCCTCTCCTCTCCCTTTTCATTCCGCGACGAGGATCGCGTCTGCGTCCCGTTCCCAATCGTTTCCACAGCTGTTTTTTTCACTTTCATCGTTTCGGTCACATCGTTGGTCAATTTTTCGGATCGCGGTCGATCGTATGTGACAAATCGTGTGTTTCTCGCGTCGCGGGAAACACGATCCGGGATCGAAACGAGGATCGCGATGTTGACGCGGGAAAAGGAAAAAAATAGTTGGAATCAGTACCAGGGTGATGGTGATGGTAGTGGGTGGTGTTGGTGAAGGTGGTGGTGGTTAAGAGCGGTAAGGAGAAAACGGAGAGGAGAGAAAAGGGGATGGGAGAAGGTAAGGGAGAGGGCAAAGGTAAGGGGATAAGAGGAGGAGGGGAAGGGGAAGGCGAGGGCGAGAACGAAGGCGAGAGGGAAGAGGCGAACGAGCTGGCATTTCTGTCGGCAAAGCGCGAATTGTGAGCGCGAGAGGCGGTGAGGGAAGTGCGGCGGAGAAGGAATCGCGTACAAGGAAGAAAAAAGGGAGCCGTCGAGCTGTCGCTCGCGTTCCGTAAACACGGAAGTCTGAAGTGCTCGGTCTTTGAACACCGACCACGTCGACGACGACCACCACGACCAAGACCGTTACGATCGCCGACAATTTATCGAGATTACAATATTATCCCGATGCTCGGACGTGCTTTTCTCCCGAAGAAAAGTTTCGCTTCTCCGATTTCACTCGGTCTCGTCCCATCCCATCCCATCTCGGTCGCGTCGCGTCTCGTCGCGTCGCGGCACGCGCCCCGAATCTTTCCAAGTATTAATAGTAATCGTAAATTTGAACCTTCCCTCCTCGTTCCTCGACACCTCGCCCGAATACCGTCGAGGAGGAAGAAACAAGGAGAGAAAGAAAAAAAGAAAGAAAGAAAGAAGGAAGGAAAGAATTCGATCGTTGATCCCCGTGGAACGAAACTTGGAAAACTTTCGCGAAGGGGAAAGAACGGGAGATCTTCGCGCATTCGACGCTATCGCTCGTAAAGCAAATCATCGATGAAGGGCAAGGGAAAGAGAGGAGAAGGGAAGAGCCATGCGCGCACAAATATTTTCCTCGGGTATGAAAATGGAAATGGATCGATTGGAGGAGCGTGCAATCGAGAATGCGATACGAAAACGGTACGATCTTTCTCTTTTTTTCTCCTCTTCCTCCTTCTCCTCCGCTGAAACATCGTCGTCCGTTGAACCGACGTCGTCGTCGTCGTCGTCGTCGTCGTCGTAGTCGCCGCATCCGTTCATAAGCGGAACGAATCGAGACGTTTCCTCGGCGAAGGCTGCTCGAAATTGCGCGCATACGGGAAATCGGGCAGAGGAGGAAGAGCTCGAGCGAGAAGAGAAATTAACGATGATAACGTTGCTTTTTTTTTTTTTTTTTTTTTTTACGCTGGAACGATCGATATCGCGTTTCCAATTAAAAAATTCACCAATCCATCAAATTGTTCCACTCATCGAGATCGTTTACCACCAAACGCGAGCCAATCGAGAAAAACTATCCTTGATCGATCGTCTCTCTCTCTCTCTCTCTCTCTCTCTCTCTCTCTCTCTCTCTCTCACCCACTCTTTGTCGCGTTTCCTCACGTTTTTATCCGGCGTATACGACGGAAAGGAACGTCGAATTTTTACGATCGATCCTTCGACGAGGAGAAACATCGTCGATGATCCCGCCACCGATATCCCAACCACCGGGGGTGAGAGAGGGAAGACGAAAATAACCATGGGCAGAGGAAGAGGAAAATTGAAAACGAATAGGAGGGGGGAAAGGCGGGCGCGTATCTCGCATGGGCCGAGAAACGTGAAAACGTCGGCGAATCTCGCGCTCGTCTATACGCAACGCCAGCTCCACTCTAGCCACGGATTAACGGGAAAAGCCTCGCTTCCGCTCTTCCTCTTCCTCTCTCTCCTCCCCTCCCCTCCCTTGCTCTTAGTCCCTTGCCGACCAAGAAGGCACAGGTTCGCGCGTATTACAACGCCGATTCGATTTCCCCTCCCACTTTTTTTTTCCCTTCTCGCTCGGCAAATAAAAAGAAAAAAAAAAAAGGAAAAAAAGCGTAGATATCCCGAGTCGCTTATTCGCCTACCCGCCTTTCTACCGCGACTCACCGTCGCGGTCAAGTGCCTCTTCTTTCCTTCCGACTACGTTTTTACTTTTCACCCCTCCTCCCGTCCCGAGAAAATTGCGCGAAAAAATTCTATCCCCTTTATTATTTATTATTTATCCTCCGTCAACCACCCCGTAAAAAAAAGGATTTAATGGAGGGGGAGGGGGATAAACGACACTTTCGATCCTCCCATTCCTCCCCTAAACCTTTCGAAAAAATTCGAGAAATTTCAATCCGACTCGTTTCAATATTTCTTTCCCCTCCGTTCGATCTTGGCGTCGAACGAGGGGGCGAAAAATAGGGCGAGCAGGTAAGGATCATCCTCCCCTTTCCCTTCCATCTCGCTCGCTCGCTCGCGATCGGATCACGAGATTCTCGCTCGGTCGACGCTCGCACGCGGGACCGGCTTCGCGAAGCGGATAATTTTGCTTTTCCGCTCGGCCATCCGTGGTGATCGGCCACGCTGCTCCTCTTCACAGGGGAGGTTAGGCAGTCTTCGTTTTCGACGAAGCAGGGGCTTCGACGCTCCACTCTCTCCTCTTTCGAATACTCGTCCAAGGAACCACGGGGTTTCGGAGAACGCGTGTCCTCCCCCCCTCCCCCCCCTCCCCACCGTTCGTTCTCGAGGGACGGGCGGAGGGAGAGAGACAGAGACTCCCATGGAAACGCGGCTAACTGGACCTCTGCCAGCGCTTCGTTCTCGATTAATTTATTCTGTCTGGAGCGCACCTCCTCCCTCCACTCGTTACCGCGATACACGTTACCTTCCACGCGGTTTCCATCCAGACTCTCCTCTCTCTCTCTCTCTCTCTCTCTCTCTCTCGCATGCATTGCTCTCTTCCTTAACTCAGTTAACGCCGGATCCCATGGATCGTTGATCGAATTGGGATCGTCCTCTCTCGTTATTATCTCCGATAACCAACCACCGATCCCCTCCCTCCACCGCCGCGAGAACACGCGGCAATTTCGAATCGACCACGCGCGGGCGATTGCCCCTTCGCGAGACAAATGGCGGCCGGCGAGAAGAAAGGGGAGGGGGGGAGGAGGAAGAGAAAAGTGTCGGCGAAATATCATCCATCCATCCATCCGTCCACCGAGAAGGTAAAGAAAGGAGAGGAGAAAGGAGAGAGAGGTGGGTGTGCGTCGCGCGGGCGACCGAGCTTTTTTTTTTTTTTTTTTTTTTTCTTTTCGAAAGAAGAGAAGAGACGAGAGCAAGATTTTCCTTAATAATAGCCGTTGTTAGCGCCACTTGGCGTAAACATTCTCGTTTACCGAGAGAGCAACCGAGAGAGATAGAGAGAGACGGACGACCTATTCTTTAACCATCCCCTGCGGCAACCGATCCCCTTCCTTTCCCCTCCCCACCTCTCCCCTTCACGCTCCTTTTATTTTTCCTCCGCTCGGTCACCTTCGCCCCCTCCTCCCCCACCCCTCGCGGATTCTCGGCCAATTTGTTTCTCATCCGCTCATCCACGCGGGGAAGAGGGAAGGGAGGGGAAGGGAGGGGAGGCGAAATTCAATTTTTCCCGCCCATTGTCCCCGGGAGAACCGGGAACCGGAAGAAAAAGATATCGAGCAGTCCTCGAAGGAAGGAAACGAGTTTTCCAACTATCCAATCGGATTCGTCCCGTCTATTTCTACTATCTCGTCTTTCGAATCGATCGAAGAAGATATCGATCGAAGGGGAGCGAAAACGAATCGATCGAATCGAAAGCGTCGGCGGGAGAAAAGGGGGAGGGAGGAAGGGAAAAAAGGTGGAAAGGATTTCGTTCGACGAAATCGAGTCTCGTCCTTTTTTCTTTTTTTTTTTTGCAAACGCCAAACCTCTTCTCCCCCTCCATTCCCTCTCCTGTTGCTGTTTTCACTTCTCCGACTGACTCTGTCCAACGAATGGGAACGATTCGCTTTTTATCGGGCGAGCATCCAGACGCGATCCAATTTCGCTCGCTTCACCACCATTGTTCCCGCCTTTCGAAAATCTATCCAATCGTCGGAATCGTGCCCTCTCCCCGCCTCCGTCGGTACATCGCCCATCGTTACCCGGCCGCTCTTTTTGAGAATCCGCGGGGATCGAGAATCCAAACCCAAAGTTACTCGCTTGTCATATTCGAGTAATCGTATGCCTTTAACCCTTTGCAGGCCTGTTTCGCTCGGTCGAACCAGCAACTTCAGACTCAAACCCATCAATT